CCACCGCCCCGCTCCACCGCCCCGCTCCGGCCCTCACGGCCGCCGCCATCTTGAGCCGCAGCGGGCGCGGGGCGTACGGCCCTTAGCTGGAGTTGTGTGTCCGATTGTGGGCTCCTCAGCTCAGGAAAAACAAGGAGAGGCTCCAGCGGAGGCCACAAAGATGATGAGGGGTCTGGATGGAGCATCTCTCTGAGACAGAGACACTGCGGGAGCTGGGCCTGTTCGGACTGGAGAAGACTGAGAGGGGATCTTGTCAATGCGTATAAATTATATCCAAGGGGTATCACTGGATGGTGTCAGACTCTTTTCATTGGTGCCCAGTGACAGGATGAGGGGCAATGACCATAAATTAAAGCACACAAAGTTCCACCTCAGCTTTAGGAAGAACTCCTTTACACTGAGGGTGGCAGAGCACTGGAACCGCTGCCCAGGGAGGTCATGGAATCTCCTCTCTGGAGACATTCCAAACCCACCTGGCTGTGTTCCTGTGTCACCTGTGCCAGGGGACCCTGCCTCCGCAGGGGGTTGGACTGGGTGATTTCCAGATGTCCTTTCCAACCCCAATGGTTCTGTAATTCTGTGGGACCCTTTCCCAGGTGCTGGGTTGGGGACCTGGATAGAGTGAAAACCCCAAAAACTCCTCTTGACGGATACATCTCATCATTACGCTGGCATCCTGAGCCCTGTGCGGGGGCTTGAGGGGAGATAGCTCCTGGGAAGAGAGGAAAAGTTGCAGGTAAAAACTGCCTGGCTGGCAAAGGCATATGATAGGATTGTCTAGGTGGGGAAAGACCTCCAAGGTCAGCAAGTGCAGCCATTCATCCATCACAGTGACCTTGCCCTTTTTGGGGTGTTTTTAACCGGCAGCCTGGCTCCTGCCTCTGAGCTGTGAGGCTGCCATGGGTTGAGCAGGTACTGCAAGGATGGGTTCAGATCCATGGGCTGGGAGTGAAACCCACCACAGGTTTCCCCAGACACTTCCAGCCCTGCACCCCCAATTCCCAGCTCCTCCCTCTCCAGTCTGTTGCTCACACTCTTAATTAAATCACTGTGTGTTGGAGAGCTCATTTAACTCCAGGCTTTCTGTTTTGGCATCRGTGCCACCAAGGAGAAATTTGCACTAAGCTGTTTTTCATTTCATTGCCTCTCTTTTATTGCTTACTTCTCTTATTAGCGACATTATTTTTAACCTACCGTTTAATTTAGGACTTGGGTTGCTTTTTACTTGCTCTGGCAGTTGTGGCAATTAGGTGAAGACCATGCCTGCAGCATTACCATCCAAACAGTTCTTGAATATCTATCCATATAAATGTAGCTTCAAAGCATAGTCATCTTCTTTTTAATCAGCCAGGAGAGGCAGAGGCCCACAGGCCAGACATTTCTGTTTTTCTCTATAAGAGAAGCAGCCCTGCAAACCGCCCTCATGGAGGCAGGAGGGACAAGCAAACAGTGACATTTTTAACTACTATGGCAAAGGTTACAYGGTGACTCAGTGGCAAGTTTTTCACACCAGATCACATGGTTTTGATCCCATGCAATAGGCTGAGCAAATATTTTGTTCAACTGCTACCAAAAGACTCAGCAAACCATATGAGAAACAACTGGATTTGGAGAATGGTTTGCAAACCAGATTTATCTGGTGATAACTGCAAAATCAAACCTCAGAGACCTGAAAGACCAGCCTTCAACTGGACAGTGCTGTGACCTGAATATTTTCATTTTAGCTCACTTGCTTTTTCTGTTAAAGTATCTTAATGATCACTCTTTAACCCATTATCCCTTTTGTCTATTTTCAGCATYTGTGCCATAAAACTGTAAAACAAAGACAAGGCACACACAAGTGGAGACCTGGTGATATGTTCTGGGAAGCAGGATGCTCTCTTGCACATTGTGAAAGCTTTAAATCCCAAATTTTTTACATCCGGATTAGCGGCAAAAGAGCTTTTTTTCGAAATCATCCAAGACAACTCACWGATGGATGGGGAAAAGCTACTCAGGAGGCAAGTGCTGGGATGGGCCTAAAACCAGGAGCCCATTCCTCGTTCCGCAGTGCCGCTGCCACTAGATGTCACAGTGAAACAGCAAGAGGAGCCCGCAGTGTGCCTTTGTACTTCTTGCTATAATTGTAAAACGCCTTTGAATTTGTCTCGGCACATCCACAGTGTCTCCATACAGCTTTGATCCTGCGGATTTCAAAGCTCCTTGTGGTGCAAAGGGACATTATGCAACATTTCCACACGGGCAGAGGGAARCCCAGTGCAGGGAGCTGCTTTCTGGGGGTTTATGGACTTCTTTCTTTTTTTTTTTTCTCCCCTCCCTCTACTTGAGCTCCTCTCCCAAAGCCACACAGGGCTTTTAAGGACTCAAAGCCAGCGGGTGATGCACTGAGATGCTCTCTCTCACGCTCTCTTGGGATGAGTATCCTACTCTGTCGTGCCTGTGCCAAGCCCTGTTAAATGGAGCYCGGGTTCACCATTGCTTAGTTACACAATGTACTTCTCCCTGGAGTCATGAGATCTCCTCCCTCAAGGAAGGCAGTGTGGAAGAGGATTAACAGCGAGTTCACTTGACTTGAGGCTCCCCACYGTCGCCATGAGCCCTCCTGCTCGTGCCCCGCGTGTGGAGCCTCAGACCCCCTCGCACGCCTGTGCCCCCTCCCCATTTCTTGGCACTGGTGTCACACACACCAGCTCAGCAGAGCCAGGAACGTGTCCTTTCCCTGCTCCTTTCCCATATGGCAGCTGGGTTTGTGCCTGTAGCTGTACACATGCACACCTCCCTCCCGACAGAAGCAGGGCCTGCAGGATCGGGATGGCTGAGCGTTGGCCATCGCCTTTGGAAGCTGCTGGGAATCGCACCAGTGCTCATGGCTGGAGCAGCCACTTTGCATCCCAAACATTAAATGCCCTTGGCCTTCAGTGGGAGCAGGCTGAGCTCTGAGCCTGTGTGTGGAGCCCAGGTTGGTGATGTTCTGTTTCCTTTGTGATTCCCAGGTGCTCAGTGCTCCCTGTTCACCATCTCTGGGCACAGTCCTGAGCCYGCAGCATCGCCTGGCAGAGCCAGCACCTTGCTGTCACAGCCTTCGAGTAACCACAGGGGASGCTTGGGCCATTCTTTGTCCCCACAGCAAATTTTGCAGATTTTATTGGTTAAGTGTTAATATCTGTCTTTATGTAAGCTTCCGGCTGTGCCTGAATCCRACCTCTGGATTGGTTCTTTTCTCCTTTTTTGGAGAAACCATGGTCTGTCTGTTKGCTATTTGCTCCTGTTCTTTTCAAGGCTTACGAAGTTTTTCATTCCCTTTTGCATTTCAAGTTTCATTCCCCAAGTAACTCAATTCCTCTCCATTAAACCAACTTCTTAGCCACTGAAAGTTATGATTAAACAACTTTTTAAAGGCTTAATTCCCAGTTACCCAGTGATACTGACAGCTGTACAATCTTATTTGAAACACTCAGTCTCCACCCAACCCACCAAAATAATGTTTCTGACAATTTAAACCAACACTGCATCTGTGGACTTGTTAGAAATAAGATTTAGGGATAGRCAGAAATCTTAAATATGATACTTAATGCACACAGAGAGATTTAAAGCTGTTATGGGATTAAGGCTAAGGGAAATGGTGGAGAATAAAGATGGAATTAAAAGTCAAGCCCAGTATTCACTTAGATTTATTTGGGYCTTTCAATGAGTTTGAAGGCAGAGGAGACAATTTCAAAGGAGGAAGTCAAAGTCACATGAGTGAAGCAGTTTATCTTATACCATTTTTTGTGCTGACCCCCTGTGAGAGTTTATAGGCGGATTAGGTTAAATTCAAAGTTCCACATTATCAAGTCAGAGCCTGTCACCCAACACTCACTTCATGTCCATGGGAGGAAAAATGCAGCACAGAGGCTGATTCATCTTCTCCCAAGGCAAGGGTCTAAAATAGCACAGCCAAATCATCYTCTGGAGATGCCCCTTGTGTTCTGCCCACTGCCAGAGGATCCAAAGGGAACGAGCTTTGAACCCAAAAATTTCCAGCTGCCTACTGCCAGGCAAGATGAGCACCTTAGGCAGGGTGGATGGGGCTCTACTCAAGAATAGTTCCTCTATTTTTTATGAGATTAAAAAAATTCTTCCAGTGAATTCCAGAGTGGCAGGGAACTCACTCATTGTCTTTCTTTTGACCACAAATGACAACTTTTTCCCTAAATCACCTGGCAGGAATTACAATGCTGACAGTGGTCCGAGGACTGGGATTCAGGACATGTCTTAGCCCCCTGGAGTATCCCTGAATTACAGTGCAACCAGTTATCTCRTGGATTTTCAGCCCTGCTGAGCATCCTGCAGGGGCTCAAGGGGAGCTGAGTGTCTAAAAAGGGATATTTTAGCAGGTGTGAGCACACACATGCACACAGCTGCACACGCCGGCAGCACGGAATGAAATTTGACAGGAAGAGTTTGGAAAATGTCACTGATATTTGGGGGAATGGTGATCTGCAAAGAAAAGATCTGCTCAGGCAGCCAAATCCGTTTAGAAATCAGGCATGGTGTGTGGCTGATTTTTTTTCCCAGTTGTTAAACTAACATTGTTTCTATTTGTAGAACAGATAAATAATTTCTGAACAAACAAGTCAGGGAGCTGGAGCCTGAGGGGGGTGGTACATCAGCTCAGGGACTCGTGGTTAAGAAGTCCTATAGATTTTGATAACAACTGGAAATTGTTCAGTGGATTAGTGTCTAAAGCCAGTTTGGCTTCCAGTAATGACAAGCCTGAGCTGCAGTGCCGTGGATCCAAACTTCTCCCCCTGAGG